CAGTACACTGATCACAACCTAGCAAGTGTAAGCATGCAGGTATACTCATACATATCAGTGTACAACAAGAGCAAGATCAAGAGACAAGCAAGTGAGGCAGGGTGGGCACAAGCCCAAGAGCAGTGCAGAAATGCTGATGATCACTAGACCTAGTGAAGAGATCAGCAGTGTTGGCCCGTGTGGCCACGTAAGCAAGACCAAGATGACCACGCTGCTGCAGCTCTCGTGTGAGGAAGTAACGGAGAGAAATGTGCTTCGTTCTGTGCTCCGGTCTCCAGCTCCAGTAGCAACAGCACCCCCAGAACCAGTACCACCAGCTCCACCACCGGGACTGCCCCAACGGACAGCCCACTCGCGAAGCTGCAGCGGCGAGAGCGACTCCTGCCGACTAGCACCACTAACTCTAGTACCTCCAGTGTCAGCACCACCTCCAGTACCAGTACCTCCAGCACGGCCAACTCCAGGAACACCAGTTATAGCACCTCCAGGGCAAGTACCTCCAGTACCTCCAGCAGCACCTGCGCCTCCAGTACCTCCAGCAGCACCTGTGTCTCCAGTACCAGGAACACTAGCACTAGCACCTCCAGAGCCAGCACCTCCAGAACCTGCAGCAGCACCTACGCCTCCAGTACCTCTAGCAGTACCTGTGTCTCCAGTACCAGGAACACCCGCACCAGCACCTCAAGGCCAGCACCTCCAAAACCTGCAACTCCATCACGTCCAGCGCCACCACCAGGACTTCCCCAACGGACAGCCCACTCACAAAGCCGCTCCGGCGAGAGAGACTCCTGGCGATGTGAGCCAGGACTACCCGCAGCAGCACCCACAGCAGTAGCACCTCCAGTACCTCCAACAGCACCAAGAGTCCCAGCACCTCCAGCTAGAGTAGTACGAGCACGGCTAGCTTCACCACCAGGGCTGCCCCACTGGACAGCCCACTCTTGAAGCCGCTCCGGCGAGAGATTCTCCTGCCGACGTGCACCAGTGCCACCAGCACTAGCAACCCTAGTACCACCAGTAGCAGAACCTCCAGCTCCAGCAGGGCCAGCACCTACAGCTCCAACAGTCCCAGCACCTCCCACTCGAAGACGGCTAGCTCCTCCACTAGGGCTGCCCCACTAGACAGCCCACTCGCGAAGCCGCTCCGGCAAGAGAGCCTCCTGCCGACTCGTACCAGGACCACCAGCACCAGTACCTCCAGTACCTCCTGTACCCATAGGACACTCAGCACCCCCAGAACCAGCACCCCCAGTGGTACCACCTCCTGCAGCACCAGAGTCCACAGCGACAGGCTGCAGCAGCGGTGAAGACGGTCGAGGCGGAAACCCAGGAGGGACAGCCAAGCGCGCAAAGCGGCGAGGGGTCATGGTGGCAGCACGAGTCGGGTCACCCCCCTCAGCTGGGCCAAAGGTGTCAGAGGAGATCTCGACTGGCTCAACCAAGGGGGACGGGTCAACCTGAGACACACTTGAGGGAGCAGGACCCTGCGGGGGGAGTGGGGCTACCGGGGGGGGGGGTCGAAGACCAGTGCGAGAGGCGGGAGGGGCACGGGGGAACTGCGGTGGGGGTGGAGACGATAGAAGCAGACTGACTCATCAAAGGTGACGTCCTGGGAGGAGAGAATACGATGGGAACCCGGGTGGTAAAACTGCCAGCCCGGGGCGTCGGTAGGGAAGCCAAGGAAGACGCAGCGAAGAGTGCGGGGAGAGAGCTTCCCCGCGGGGGGGTTGCGAACAAGCGAAAGGGAACCCCAGACCCGAAACGGCGACGCATCACCAACCTCGCCCGTCCACCGCATAGTGGAAGAGGTCTCTGGGTGGGAGACACAGGGCCAGAGGTTGAGTTTCTCAGCAGTGTATCGGACCACAAACGACCACAGAAAATGGGGAGCAGCCGCATGGACGATGGAGGTGCGAGCAACCTCCATCACCAAGCCAATGCGACGCTCTGCAATCCCATTCTGCTGTGGAGAGGCCGGATGCGTGAACGTCTGGCGAATGCCCTCAGCACCACAGAAGTCCTCGAGGAGGCCGGAGGAAAACTCACCACCTCGGTCAGAGTGCAGTCGCGGGACTGGGAGGTCCTGCTGAAACTGAGCAGTGAGCTGGCGACGGACAACACGGATCCAGCGGATGAGAACACTGCGGACCTCCAACTTGCTCTGTAAGGGGAAGACAGTGGTGTAGCGCATGTAGTCGTCTACAACTAGCAAGAAGTAGCGCTCTCCGCTCTGTCCAGGGACTCGGGCTGGACCCCACACGTCCATGTAGAGGGTCTGCAGAGGAGCTATGGTCGGAGGAAACGAGGAGGAGTGAGGAGCGGCGCGCTGCCGCCCTTCGACGCAGGGAAGGCACGACGGCGCAAGCGACCTCGGGAGCGGGGGCAGGGACCTGGGAAGCCCAGAGACAAGGAGACGGGAGTGCATGCCACTAAGGCGTGGCAAGGAGGGGTGGCCAAGACGGTGGTGCCAGTGGAGAGTCTGGTGCGTGAGGAGACGACACGAGCAAGACGCAGCGACCTCAACCAATGCAGCTACCTGACCTGACTCAACTACCAGTGCAGACTCATTGGTCAGTGTGTACAGGCCAGACCCAGGCCTCCGAGTGAACGTGGCAAGGTGCTCACCAGTGCGCGATTCCGTACAGATCGTCACTAGCTCGCCTCCAGGCTGGGTGACAGTGACCCACTGGTCCTGGAGGACAGAGGTAGCCACCAAGTTCTTAGCGAACGAGGGGAGGTGGAGACCTGTGAGGAAGCCGGAAGGGGCCGCCGGACAAGGGAGAACAGTAGCGCCACGCGCGACTACCGAGCCCGCGGAGGGGTTGCCCAGTGTGACAGGGACAGGGACTGTGAGCGGTGTGACTGTGGTGCTGTCGCGGAAGAAGCAACGAGACGCGCCTGAGTCGAGAGTAAAAGTGTGCAAGGCCTCCTTAGGCTCGGCACCTGCACTAGCCGAGTCAAAAGCACCAAGACTAGCAGCCTCTATAGCACCAGGTGCCTCTACACCCCCAGTACGAGTACTCCGAGACCCTCTGCCACCGGGGCTGCCCCACCGGACGGCCCACTCACGAAGCTGCTGTGGGGAGAGAGTCTCCGGCAGACGCTGCTGCTGCTGCTGTTCACCCCCAGAACCTCCGTGACTACCAGCGGCACTACCAGCAGGAGTAGACTCACAGGGACCTCCAGTAGTAGCACCCCAGGCTTTGCCACCGGGGCTGCCCCACCGGACAGCCCACTCACGACGCTGCTGTGGCAAAAGCGGCTTCCGCTGACAAACACGGCTAGCTTCGCCACCGGGGCTGCCCTACCAGATAGCCCAATCGTGAAGCTGCTGCAGCGAGAGAGACTCCTGCACACTCGGCTGCCGCCGACGTAGGACAGTAGTAGTGGCCATGGCAGTCAGTGGCAGACAGTAGCAGCAGCGCAGGAGCAGCTAGGGAAGTGCACGAGTAACTGGGTGCTCTAGTGCAGGTCGCTCATGGAGCAGGGCTAGGGAAGTCGCGCGCGGGCAGCGCACGGCGCAGGGCAGCTCGGCTCTAAGGGCAGGGCGGCGTGTGGGCCTAAGGGCAGGGCGGCGTGCGGGCTGCAGGGCAGGGCGCGCGGGCCTAAGGGCAGCGCAGCGCAGCGCGCGGGCTGCAGGGCAGGGCGGCGCACGGGCCTAAGGGCAGGGCAACGCAGCGCACAGGCTGCAGGGCAGGGCAGCGCAGTGCGCGGGCTGCAGGGCAGGGCAGCGCAGCGTGCGGGCTGCAGGTCAGGGCAGCGCGCGGGCCTAAGGGCAGGGCGGCGCGTGGGCCTAAGGGCAGGACAGCACAGCACGCGGGCTGCAGGGCAGGGCTGCGCGTGGGCCTAAGGGCAGGGCAGCGCGGTTGCGGGCTGCAGGGCAGGGCAGCGCGCAGACCTGCGGGCAGGCCGAGGCGCGGGCCTAAGGGCAGGGCGACGCGCGGGCCTAAGGGCAGGGCAGCGCGGCTCGCAGGCTGCAGGGCAGGGCAACGCGGCTCTAAGGGCAGGGCGGCGCGCGGGCCTAAGGGCAGGGCAGTGCGGCTCACGGGCTGCAGGGCAGGGCTGCGTGCGAGCGCTGGGCAGAGGGCAGAAAAAAAAAATACGGGCAGGGCAGGGCGGAACGTTCAGTGGGCCCTAGGAACGAGTCTGCTCTAATACCATGTTAGAATATGCGAACAGGAATGAATGTTTTGAGCAGGATGCAACATACAAGTACCAACCCTAAATGGGTTGTAACCTATATGGGCTACCCAGACAGACATACAAATGTATTTTGACACACTACAGATTTTTACATTTTTCTTTTCAAGTGCAGTAATTTTGTTAAGAGACTGTATACAACAAACAACCAGAATAACCTAATGCTATATCGCGAAACCGTGTTTTTGTTGCACTTGAGAACCCGCTCGGGGATACTATGAGTATGTATGATGTTGGCCGGTTATTGTTCAAGTTACATCCTAGTCCCTATTTTGGCTGTTGAGCGAGCTGTGTAGGATGTAACACGTGGCTCATTGAGAGCTCAAGTCCCTACCTTGAACAATAACTGTCCCCCCCTAGCCCAACATTTTGCGGAAACTGTGCGCAGAAAGCACTGCTCGTCCCCTGAAAGTGGATGGGTCCAGGTACCTGTCCCCGCTAAGCTGAAAACCCTTTGAGTTATTGCGCTTTCAACGCAGTTTTGCTTTCATTGGTCCACAGAATTGGCGGGCCTACAACTCCGCTTGGGTTGACGGCCCTAGCCTACACATGTAAAGATATATATATATGTGTACGTTGACAAGAGACACTACATTGCAGAATGGAATACTTGAATCCAACCAGATTATATGAATTGGTGCTTAGAAACATATTGTTGATACAGGTATGGTAGTTCATGATAATCCGAGGATGGAATGGAGTCCAGGCTACCATTAGTGGTTTGGCTTATCCATAACTACATGCAGAATGACTACACAGTTGTTGAGAAGAGCAATAATACCCACTACAAACATCGAATTCTATACATCTAAATTGATCAGCTTTGAGGTGATAAGTTGGTCGATTTCGGATGCGAGTCTGCAGAGCAGAAGAGGGGGGAGGTTGGAATCAGATCTAAAAGTTTTCCCAGACAATTGTCATCGCACTGGGATTCTGACTCAGACAAGTACTTTCATCATCCTGGCTTTTGCTCTGGCTCTCTGTTTCCTTTACCATCCACTATAATCATTAGCTTTGAGGCGCCTCAAACTTCGGCCCTCTGTTTACTAACCACCTCCTACAATATGCGGCCAAAATCATTTTCCATTTAAGTAACGCCCACACAGTCACCACACAGTTACCACCTGCTATAATCACCAACCTTAACGGTCACCTGCTGATAAAAACACTAGGTGTTGAGCCACAATTCCATGACACAAGAGTCCCACCCATGCAGTCACAACTCGTTATAAACATCACCTGTTGAGCGGACAGTCCCCTGACATTGAAGTAGCACCAAAACAGTTACAAGTCGATATACTAATTACCTGCTGCGATATCACTACTTGTTGAGCAGACAGTCCCATGACATTGAAGTAGCACCAATACAGTCACCACGCGATATATTCAGTACAAGCTATGATCACCACCTGTTGAACGGACAGTCCCATGACATTAAAGTAAAACCTATACAGTCACCACTCAATACAGTCATCACATGCCATAATCTCGACCTGTGAAGAGGAATTCTTCACAACACTGAAGTACCACCCAAACAACTCGATATAACCACCTCCTGCTATAATCTCTACCTGTGGAGCGGCAGCCCAATGGCAGCGAAGTAGCACACACTGATCACCAGGCACCCCCCACCCCAGCAGCCCTTAAATCCCGTAAACCCCTACATGCTACACTGGCTCTCTCTCTGTTACACTCACCACTCTTTATAGTCACTACCTGTTAATTGGCAGTCCCATGATGTTGAAGTAGCACCCACTGAATGCCTTCATCGGACATCCCCTCAGCCCCTGAATGCCGTACCCCCCCACCCCCCACTTGGTCGATCGGCTCTCCTGTTCCCACATATGCCCTCGAGCTGCCAGAATCACCGCCCACTGCAATCACCACTCGTTATAGTCATTACCTGTTGAGAGGCAGTCCCATGACGTTTTTTTAGTCGACTCAATTTTTGAGTCGATTTTTGAGTCGACTCAAAAATCGCCTTATAGTCATTACCTGTTGAGAGGCAGTCCCATGACGTTGAAGTAGCACCCGTTGATCGCCTTCACCAGACACCCGCCCAGCCCCTGAATGCCGTATCCCCCCGCCTTGTCCATGGGCTCTCCTGTTGCCACATACGCCTCGATTTCCGCTCGGGACAGTGATGCAAACTCCACCTGTCATATGGAGAGGGAGTGCGAGGTCACGGGGAGAGATTTGGGGGACTGGGGAAAACTGGGGAGCACGGAAACCCCCCCCCAGTCCATGAACTCTCCTGTCCCCACATATGCTTCAATCTCCGCTCGGGACAATGATGCAAACTCCACCTGCCGGAGGGACATGGAGAATGAAGGGGTGGGACGAAATGAAGGGAATGGGAAGAGTTTAGTCTTGTCCATGGGTTCGCCTGTTCCCACATACGCCTCGATCTCCCCTCGAGACAGTGCTGCAAACTCCACCTGCGGGTGAGGGAGAGGGGGCGTGACAGCAGGGAAGATTTGAAAGATTTGAAAGATGAGAAAGATTTGAAAAAGAGGGGGGGGGGGGGGGAGTTCAGTCTTGTCCGTGGGCTCGCCTGTCCCCACATACGCCTCGATCTCCCCCCTTGGAGAAGGCTGCAAACTCCACCTGTTTGGGAAAGAGAGGGAGTTTGAAGGGTTAGGCGGGTGAAAGGGGAGAGCTGGAGCATGGTACCTCCATGCCTTGTCCAAGAAAAAAATAGAGAGTATAGATGGTTTCTCTCATGCCAAACGCACTTGAGCGCATTTGCGATGGGTTATGATTATGTACAAACTCGAGACAGTGCTGCAAACTCCACCTGCGGGTGAGGGAGAGGGGGCGTGACAGCAGGGAAGATTTGAAAGATTTGAAAGATGAGAAAGATTTGAAAAAGAGGGGGGGGGGGGGGAGTTCAGTCTTGTCCGTGGGCTCGCCTGTCCCCACATACGCCTCGATCTCCCCCCTTGGAGAAGGCTGCAAACTCCACCTGTTTGGGAAAGAGAGGGAGTTTGAAGGGTTAGGCGGGTGAAAGGGGAGAGCTGGAGCATGGTACCTCCATGCCTTGTCCAAGAAAAAAATAGAGAGTATAGATGGTTTCTCTCATGCCAAACGCACTTGAGCGCATTTGCGATGGGTTATGATTATGTACAAACACACCGAGGTGACTCTTGAGTCGACTCAAAAGCCGTGAAAAAGGGGTATAGGAATAGCGCATGCCAGAGTGCAAACGCACTGAGGTGACTTGAAAAGTCACGAATGGGAAATAGGACAGAGTTCCACAGAGCACGTGCCTGAATGCTAACACACCTGAGTGCACTCGTGAAAAGAGCGGAGAAGAGGCGATCGGCCAATCAGAGGGTCTGTTTAGATTCAAGATGGGGCAGGGGAGGTATGTGGGGGAGGGAAATTGGAGGGAGAGAGGAGAGGGTAACTAGAGGGGGGTAAGTAGCAGCAGAGAGAGCATAGGCAGAGGGTGTGTCAATGAGGGACAGAGTGACAGACAGGTTTTGCAGCGAGAGTAAGGATGGGACACAGTGGAGACCTTCTTTCGACCCGAAAGGGCGAGTGGAAGGTGTACATGTAGCCGGGGTGACGGGTAAGTGCAACATTCTCAACTGCTCGTTCTACCCAGCAAGGTATAGGGTTTGAATGTCAGGTGGTGGGGATCGGCTCGAATTGGAAAATCTTGAGGAGTACAACTTGGCTGGAAGGGTGTCGGAGGTGGGCCACGTACTCTTAGGGCGTGAACTTCTTACACCCCATGCGTTCATTTCACCGCCCCAGTTTGAGGCGGCGACCAAGTTGGGCAAGAGATGGCCTATCTGGAGTGGTTGGGGGTGGTGAATGCTGTGTCAACCGTGACTGAGGAGAACATGGCGCAGGTTCTTGAAGACCAGCTGCGTGAGAACAACCTTGCGTCATGTTTTCTTCTGTCACGGTTGACACAGCGTTCACCACCCCCAACCACTCCAGATAGGCAGGTCTCTTGCCCAACTTGGCCGCCGCCTCAAACTGGGGCGGTGAAATGAACGCATGGGCTGTCGGAAGTTCATGCCCCAAGAGTACGTGGCCCACCTCCGACACCCTCCCAGCCAAGTTGTACTCAAGATTTTCCAATTCGAGCCGATCCCCACCACCTGACATTCGAACCCTATTCCTTATCGGGTAGAACAAGTAGTTGGGAATGCTGCACTTACCCATCACCCCGGCTACAGGTACACCTTCCACTCGCCCTTTCGGGTCGAAAGAAGGCCTTTACTGTGTCCCATCCCCACAATGAGTGAGGGTGCTGTGATAGACAGGTTTTGCAGCAAGATTAGAAAGCGTGCGTCGGGTAACACAGCGCTTTCCTCAATATTGAGAACATAATTTGATATCAGGAACAAAGTACTAATTATTCATAGCATCAATCACAATATTCGGCTGTGCCCTGATTCACATAACTGCACTGGAAGAAGGTAGGACGCACCAGTGACAGCTGGCAGGACGTACCGGTGACAGCTGGCAGCACAAGAGCCACTCCCGTGAAAACTCGGTGCTTGCGGCCTGTGGGGGGATGATGGGGGTGGTGTGTGGAGAATGGGTGATGGGGGAATGATGAGGGGATGATGGGGGGGTGATGAGGGGGATGGTGGGGTGTTGATGGGGGAATGATGGTGAGGGTGGTGGGTTGGAGGGAGGACGATGTTCAGACAGGGTAATAGGGGTGCTGGGGAAACAACAGGGCCCATGGGGGTGCTGTGCTGGGGGATTGAAAGAACACGAAGGGTGGCACCTGATAGGAGCGAAAGCATGCGAATTGCGTCCTCCTTAGAAGCCGGCTTCTCTAAAAGCTCGCCCTGAAAAGGAGAACATAGATGGATTGGAAAGCAGCTGGTAAGGTGATTAATTGATGGAAAGATGGGAAACTTGCATGGTGGAAGGACTATGTCACAAGGTGAAATTGGCATACATGCTATAAGACTGTGCCTTGATAAGAAGACTCAGGTAAAGGTCCTGTTCCTTAATGAGAAGTCATGTCGGGTGAATGTACGAATGGGTACACTCAGGTGGAAAGTACTGATTTACCCATTCTTCGTACATTCAGCCACGCACCATTCGTACATTCGTACACTCACCCACATATCCATCTCCAGCACAGATTTTTAGATTCTTCCCTTTTTCTACTTCCACATCTACTGGGAGTGGTGCGTGGCACCCACCCACCCACCCACCCACTCACTCACATCTATCTCAACCACAGTGTCGGCAGCAATCACGAGCGTTGGTGGCGCCTCCCCACTCGCCCACTCACATTTCTCCGCAACTCTCCCATAACTCATAACTCTCCCACCCACTCACATCCCTCCGCAACCACTCACATCTATCTCCACCACAGTGTCGGCAGCAATCACGAGCGTTGGTGGCGCCTCCCCACTCGCCTGAACAGGACATGCACAGAGAGAATGGGAGCGAGCGAGTGGGGAGGCGCGAGCGAGTGGGGAGGCGCGAGCGAGTGGGAAGGCGTGAGTGAATGGGGAGATGCGAGGAGAATAACAGTGAGTGAGTTGGAGCATTGATTGTACGCATCTTTTGATTCGGAATTAATTGTACGCATCTTTTGATTCGGAATTGATTGTACGCATCTTTTGATTCGGAATTGATTGTACGCATCTTTTGATACGGAATTGATTGTACGCATCTTTTGATTCGGAATTGATTGTACGCATCTTTTGATTCGGAATTGATTGTACGCACCTTTTGATTCGGAATTGATTGTACGCATCTTTTGATTCGGAATTGATTGTACGCATCTTTTGATTCGGAATTGATTGTACGCATCTTTTGATTTGGAATTGATTGTACACATCTTTTGATTCGGAATTGATTGTACGCATCTTTTGATTCGGAATTGATTGTACGCATCTTTTGATTCGGAATTTATTGTACGCATCTTTTGATTCGGAATTGATTGTACGCATCTTTTGATTCGGAATTGATTGTACGCATCTTTTGATTCGGAATTGATTGTACGCATCTTTTGATTCGGAATTGATTGTACGCACCTTTTGATTCGGAATTGATTGTACGGGATGGAAGGGTGGGCATGCACCTGAGCAGCCCCCACCTGAGCAGAGCAGCACACACCTGAGCAGAGCAGCACACACCTGAGCAGAGAAGCACACACCTGAGCAGAGCAGCACACACCTGAGCAGAGCAGCACACACCTGAGCAGAGCAGCACACACCTGAGCAGAGCAGCACACACCTGAGCAGAGCAGCACACACCTGAGCAGAGCAGCACACACCTGAGCAGAGCAGCACACACCTGAGCAGAGCAGCACACACCTGAGCAGAGCAGCACAAACCTGAGCAGAGCAGCACAAACCTGAGCAGAGCAGCACAAACCTGAGCAGAGCAGCACAAACCTGAGCAGAGCAGCACACACCTGAGCAGAGCAGCACAAACCTGAGCAGAGCAGCACAAACCTGAGCAGAGCAGCACAAACCTGAGCAGAGCAGCACAAACCTGAGCAGAGCAGCACAAACCTGAGCAGAGCAGCACACACCTGAGCAGAGCAGCACAAACCTGAGCAGAGCAGCACAAACCTGAGCAGAGCAGCACAAACCTGAGCAGAGCAGCACACACCTGAGCAGAGCAGCACACACCTGAGCAGAGCAGCACACACCTGAGCAGCACGCAGGGCCTTGGAGGAAACTTCAATGGCCTTGTGGGTGGCTGTCTCTGCTGCGTAGTCTGCCAGTGGGGGGATAGAAGGCGGGGAGATGGATGGTGCAGCGAGATGGAATACAGGGAGGGGGATGAGTAGGGGAGTTCTCTAGCCTTGTGCGTGGCTGTCTCTGCTGAGTAGTCTGCATTTGGGGCGATGGAATTCGGGGAGGGAGAGGAGGGTATTACAGAATTCACTTTTGAGAATATTCAGAGATGCACGGACGGAGATGAAAAAGGGTCTTCTATAGCCTTGTGCGTGGCTGTCTCTGCTGCGTAGTCTGCCAGTGGGGAGATCGAAGGCGGGGAGAGGAATGAGGGGAATGAGGTACAGCAAGCAAGCAGGGTTTTTGAATCGATTCAAACAAGGGGAATGGCATGGAGGCAGAGGAATGAGAAACGGAAAAAAATGTGGGAGAGTTAGAGTGTAGTTTTGAGTCGACTTCAAAACAAATATGTTTCACAGATTCTCGGCTATTTGCCTGTGTTATTTTTTTACACTGTTTTTTCCTACTTGCTTAAGCCTAGATCCTAAGCACTGCTGCTCACTGGAAGATGTCACACGAATGGCATGGAGGCAGAAGAATGAGAAACGCGAAAAATGTGGGAGAGTTAGAGTGTGAAGCCACAAGCAAGGGGGGAGCAGCAAGTAAGGGGGGTTGGAGGGATAAAGAGGGAGTTCGTGCTGTGGCTTACCTCCTGCGCTGGCGAATGCTGCTTTATTGAGGTCCTCGTTAAACGTGCTCGGGATGACGTCAACACTTAGTCCCTGGGAGCAACAAGTGCGGTAGAGGCAGGGAAAGGGGCAGCGCAGCGGTAGAAGCGGAGTAAGGGGCAGCGCAGCAACAGAGGCCGGAAAAGGGGGGTAACAGGGGAAAGATGAGGGAGGAGGGGAGTCAGAAGGATATGGGGGACACATCTGAAAGCATGCTATAACTCATAAAACAACAGCCCTAGAAGCTACGAATGCTCCTACCAGGCCTGAAAGCAATTCGCGTCGTCTAGGTGATGCCGACGCGAGAACGATCCGGCGCTTCGACATTGCTGCCACGTGTTGGATGAACATTGGACCACGCTTAATCCTGTTCGCGAGCCCTTTTTTTTTTCCTTGGAAAGTCTTATGGTAAAGCGGCGTGGTTCCTGTTAGTAACCGTCAGCTCCAACTATTTAGCGACTACGTCGCTAACTTGACACACGATTCACATGAGAATTGACTCTAGAGGCGCGTACATACAAGCAAACAGATTCGTGCGACGAGCGGAGCGAAGACGCAGCTGTCGCAGATTCCTCGTGCGACGCGAGCAATGTTACAGCGAAAGAAGCGGGGAAAATGCTGATCATACTCCATTTCGGTAGACTCAGTTGGAAAACATGTTGAGAAAATACTCAATCCACTCACAGATTTGAAAGCATGGATACATTTCACCAATTTAAGCCACATTTGCTGCTACTTGCTACTGCTACTCTTGCCTGCTTTTGCTTTCCCTTTACCCGCTTTTCTCCCTCCCCCATCCTCCCTCCTTGATTCTCCCACACCTCTTCCTCCCTCACAATCTTCCCTTACAACCTTTCGCTTCCCTGCCAGTGGTGCTGATCCAGCAACCCCTCCTCCTTTAACCAACTCCTTCACGTTCTTCCTTTTCTTATGCTTATCACCAAAACCACCAACACCACCAACACCACCAACACCACTACCATCAGCACCACCCCCTTCACGTGCCACAGCGACAGCAGCACCACCTGCGTTTACATTACCACCACTCGCCTTATCAGCTCCACCCTTCTTGGTTTTTCTTGACCTAGCTGCTTCCTTAGGGGTCCCAGGCACCCCAGCCGCCCCAGCCATACCACTATCACGGCCATGACCACCGGCAGTGGCAGCTTCAGCTCCCAGCTTCTTCTTCTTCTGCTGCTGTAGCTGCTTCCGGCGCTGCTGCCTCTGCCTTCCACCATCCGCCTTGTGCTTCTTGGCACTCCCTGCAGCAGCACCATCAGCAGCAGCAGTACCAGCAGCTGTAGCAGCAGCAGCAGCCTCTGCTGCCTCTGCCGCAGCAGCTGCAGCATCGGCGGCAGCAGCAGCAGCTGCGGCTTTGGTGCGTTCGAACTTCTCAGCGTGGGTTTCCCCAATGGCCTCCACCTCACCATCGCTGTTCACCAACACCTGCAGCTCGCCCCTCTCATGCCTCCCCACGGCTGCCACGTGCTTCTGTATGGGGATGGGAGAAGGGAAGAGAGGGGGTGAGACTTAAGGTACATCATCATGCAGTCCGTGACTGTCCCCATGGCCCATCGCTGTTCACCACCACCTGCAGCTCGCCCCTCCCATGCCTCCCCACCGTTGCCAGGGACGCCTGGAGGAGGGAAGAGAGGGGTGGTGGTGTTGGGGGGAGAATAAGTAGGCTGGTAAACAAATCAAATCAGTTCCTGACATTCGGCACTGGTTTTGAGACGTCTCAAAACTAAATCAGTTCCTGACATTCGGCACTGGTTTTGAGACGTCTCAAAACTAAATCAGTTCCTGACATTCGGCACTGGGCCATCGCTGTTCACTACCACCAGAACTCTCGCCTCATGCCACCCCACTGCAGGGAAGCATGGGAGGAAGTTGGCTGGCATTGCGCAGGGCAACGGTGGGGTTTCGGGATTGGGGATTAGGTAGCACTTCCTCCTCCAACGGCAGGTGCAAGTTCACTTTTGAGTCGACTCAACAGTCACTGCAGGGAAGCATGGGAGGAAGTTGGCTGGCGTGGCGCAGGGCAACGGTGGGGTTTCGGTTTTCGGGTTTTGGGGTTTACGCAGGTGTTAGTTCAAGTTACCTTGGACGCCAGGTGTTTCTTCATGTTGTCACTGTTCACACAGAGCACTCGAGGGCACACTCTGCACCGCAGCACACCCCCTCCCACTCCTCCCTGCCCCACCACTCTCACCACCATCTCCCCCCCCTCCCCAAAATCCATGTCTTTGAATGCCTCTCCCTCCCCCTGGCCTTTCCTCTTCCGCTTCCCTGCTTTGCCACCCTCCTCCTCCCCCCTCTCCTCTCCCTCCTCTCTCTCCTCTTCCTCATCCTCCTCCCCGTCCTCCTCTTCCTCCTCCCCCTCCTCACTGCTCTCGTCACTTGAACTGCTATCACTGTCACTGCTCCCACTCTTCCTACCCTTCTTCCTCCTCTTCTTCCTCCGTTTCTCCTCCTCTCTCTCCCTCTCCTCCTCGGAAACCAGCTCTTCCCACTGAGAAGACACCCCACCTGCTCCTCCCCCCTCCTCCTGCTCTGACTCCTCCTCTGAATCACTCTCACTCTCACCCCTCTCACCCGCACCCTCGTCACTCTCTCCCTCCTCACTCTCCCCACCACCCCCCTGCACTTCAGCTTCTTCGTCTGCACTCAGACGGCGGACAGGTGGGGAGAGAGGAGAAGAGAGAGGGGAGGGAGCGGTAAGTAGGCAGGGGGATAAGGAGGAAATAAAACAAGTGGAGTGTGAGAGCGGGCGAAGCGTGGCCGAGGGTGGAGGGTGAGAGAGGGTGGAGTGTGAGAGAGGGTGGAGGGTGAGAGAGAGGGTGGAGGGTGAGAGGGTGGAGGGATTTGGGTGAGAGGGTGCAAGCACGCCGGGTACTCCCTATGGCAAGCAAATGATCTCTTCGGCAGGCGAGATACGCAGTGCAAAGTCAAGCAGAAAGGCAGGAAAGCAGGAAAGCAGGTACCTAAAAAATCAGGAAAGCAGGGAAGCAACTTTAGACCAGGAAATATACCCGTGATCGCGGGTGCATGGCCGGTGAGAGGCCATTCGGGTCGAATCAAGACGTTGCGACCCACCGTAAACCTCGTCGCGGCACCCTCTAATTAGAACCTATCTAACGCCATTTCGGTTCAGTGTCGCACGACGTGAAAGTGTCGCGTCAATCGCCCACCTGACGAGGCGACATTGTCGTCGTCGTCGCTCGACGAACTCGAGTCGTCGCTGGAGGCGGCCGCGGGGCCGTCTTCTTGATGAAGCATGCGATAGTCGCGTCGCTTTATCATTGCGACCCTGTCTTGAAGCTGCGAAGGAAAATTAATTCGGTTGAAAGTACTACGGCGGGGATTCAACGGAAGCTGCAGCCGCAGCAGATAGTGCGAACAAACAGTGGCGCTTAACTACCAAATGCCGAGTATCGTCTGAAAGAGTCTCACGCGAGTTGACTGGAAACTAGGAATGGTAGGAAGAGAGGGGGTTAGGTTTTGGGTTTTGTGCTAAATTCACAGCTGTAACTTAAAACCCGTGGTTCGTGATTTTCGAGGTGAGTTTGCTCGAGGCAAATTGTTCACACTTTTGCTTCCCCATTTTGTGGTAGCCTCGTAACTCTCGAGGGAGCGAAGGAATTGTCACGCTCCGCTGACGTAACGGAAGTGGCTGGTTGGGTTCGCGAAAAGTTGTAACAGATGCAAAAAACCTTTGTGGAGTTGAAACTGGTGGATAACTTTCGCCAAGGTCACTCCAGTCGTTTTTCTGCCAATAGGAAAGAAATCAAGCGGCGAGACGTTGGTTCGCCAAGATCCAGCCAACTGCTTCGCCAGCAGCGTTAGCTTCGCAAACGGAAAGCCTTACCTACTTTCGCCGGACGGCAACTGATTCCGCAGCTTCTGGTGGTCTGGCGTCAGTAAGCCAGCCAATCAGTCAGTCTTACGGCGGTTTCACCGCCACCTTTTTGCTGACGATTTTTTCGCAGCTATCATCGCAAACCATCTTCTCCGGAGTCCTTTCTCGGCGAAAGCTCGAACCGATTCGCGAAAGCGGGTTTCCAGAGCACATGTCCTTTGTCCCTTAGGTATACGAGAAGTGAAGCACAACTGACTGCTTCTAACAGTAGGCAGCAGGTGGAAGTAGTATTCGTTTGGTGTCTTCCGCGTGGCTCTTAGAAATCCGCAAGAAATTATCCTGAATCCGTTTCGTCATTTGTCTCCCTCCGTCGGCCAAGCAATGGCGGCGAGTGCAAGCCTGCCTGTCTTGGAGGTCACTATCGACCCGGGTAGCCCGCTGGAAGAGAAGGAGAAAGCCGTCAGGTAGGCAGTCAGGTACATACGTAGAAGAAGGATTCGATTTGGTCCTTGTTCTACGTCCGCCTTCCAAGCAATGGCGGCGAGTGCAAGCCTGCCTGTATTGGACGGCTGTGTCTGTATTGATAGTCCTCTGGAAGAGATAGAGAAAGCCGTCAGGTAGGCTGTCAGGTGCTCTTTCGCGGGCCTCAGGTGATTCTTCCAGGTAGAATGTCAGGTGCTCTCAATCAAGAATTACGTTAGCGTCACCATTATGATGTTTTTTTTTCGCATTATGTTCCCCGCGCAGGTCTTTAGCACACAGTCATAGCACACGGGTTACCACACGCATAGTACATTGCACGCAGCCTTATATGAGCCTGACCCCGCCTTATGTGGGCGTGCCAGAAGCTCTCTCTTCCCCCTCCCTCCTCCCCAGGGAGGGAATTAGCACGCAGGCTCATGCCAGCATGGCAGCATCTGGCACAGCAAGAGCTGCAGGCTGCACCGTTACCCACATCCCATAATCTCCTCTCTCTCTCTATCCTCCCACCTCCCTCGTCCAGGGACATTGCGCGCAGGCTCATGCCAGCATGGCAGCATCTGGCAGAGCAAGAGCTGCAGGTTTCCACCATCTCGGGCGGCATCACCAACCTGAGTGAGTCTAAGGACAGCCCTAATCGGCAGCATTGCATTATAGAAACTTCTTCCATTGCTGGGGCAAGAGCTGCAGGTTACGACCATCTCGGGCTGAATCTCCAACCTGAGTGAGTCTAAGGACGTCCTTATTCGGCAGAATTGCATTCTAGGAACTAAATAATTCACAGGCAGCATCGATTCCTAACCCCCATTTCTCTGGTATTCCTCCTTTAAACGGGTACAGTGGGGAAATTTTCATTTGTTTTGGCATGCTTTCCCTTTATCGGCAGTATTTAAAGTGCAGCAAGCGAAGCAAAGCCAGAATCATCAGGAGCAGCAGAAGGAGGAGGAAGGAAAAGGGAATGACCGAAACGGGGAGGCGTCATCCGAGAAAAGGGGAGGCGGCAGCCAATCAGAGGCGATCACTGTGCGCATCTACGGGCCAGATACGGACAAAATCATCAACCGGAGCAGAGAGTGGGAGGTGAGGTGGGCGTCGGGGTATGAGCATGGGGGTATGGGCATGGGCATGGGGGCATGGGCATGGGGGCATGTGCATGGCCATTGGGGCATGGGGTGGGGACATGGGCATGGGGTCATGGGCGTTGGTATGGGCATTGGCGTGTGTATGGGTACGGGTATATTTATGGTCATGTGCATGCATGGGTATGGGTATGGGAATGTGCATGGTCATGCGCATGGGTATGGGTATGGGTATGGGTATGGGTATGGGTATGGGTATGGGTATGGGTATGGGTATGGGTATGGGTATGGGTATGGGTATGGGTATGGGTATGTGCATGGGTATGGTCATGCGCATTGGCATGGGCATGAGCATGGGAATGGATATGGGCATGCCATCCCACACTGTGCCACACCACACCACACCACCCCACCACCACACCAACCCCACCCCCTGCCCTATCAGGCAGTCAGGGCGCTGTCAACAGCAAACTTCGGGCCTCGTTTACTCGGGAGCTTCACCAACGGAACCGTGCAGACTTACCTCCCTGGCCGCACGCTCACCCCTCCAGGTATGTTCTAATTTCCCTGCTCAGAAGCTGTCCTGTCAGGCACTGAAGGCGTTGTTTGCAGCAAACTTCGGGCCTTGCTTAATAGGGAGATTCACCAACGGAACCGTGCAGATGTACCGGCCTGGCCACTCGCTCACCCCACCCGGTATGCTTTTTTCCATATTGATCAGCTGCACTGTACAGCCCTGCCAAACACTTAATCTGTTGTCAACAGCAAACGTTGGGCTCGACTGATAGACGTTCACATCCGAAATGGATCCATGCAGCAGATGTACCTGCCTAGCTGCACCGCACACTCACTCACCCCACCCGGATATTTCGTTTTTTTGTGCCTCTATCTCAGCTGATAGCGGAGTAGCTGCACTGCCTGCAGCACCATGTGGTGGTCCCAATGCGTCCGTTGTGGCCCCAGCCTGATTCCCATGTACCCTACAGTGATCATCACGCACCCCTCTCGCTCCCCATTCATCCCCATGCAGAGATGTGCACCCCGCCATTGTCACACCTGATAGCAGCACAGCTGCACCGCCTGCACCATCTGGAGGTGCCTCTGGGGTCGGAGGAGGAGCGCAAGGAGGGGCACCTGTGGCACGCCTTGTTTGACATGCTGCACACTGGTGGGTGCTCTGGTGGGTGCTCTGGTGGGTGCTCTGGTGCTATTGGGTACTTTGGTCTGGGGATGGAGGAGTGGAAGGAGGGGCACCTGTGGCACGCCTTGTTTGACATGCTGCACACTGGTGGGTGCTCTGGTGGGTGCTCTGGTGGGGTGGGTGCTCTGGTGCTGTTGGGTACTTTGGTCTGGGGATGGAGGAGTGGAAGGAGGGGCACCTGTGGCACACTGGTGGGCGCTTTGCTGGGTTCTTGCTTTCTTTGGTGCTGCTGGGTGCTTGCTTGCTTTGGTGCTGCTGGGTGCCCAGCAGCCTTCACAGTCATTACATCATATGGAAAATAGGGGCTGCTGGGTGCTTTCGGGCTGCTGGGTGTTTTGTCATTGCCATCTTGGTAACTTGCCATCCGCTGACCGAGCTTTCCCTGCCACGCTGGTTGTTTTGTTTGTACTCGTTACTGTTTGCCCCTGTTCCCCGTCAGAGCGCCTTCAGCCGAGAAGCTGCGGTACGACGACCAGAAGCTGCAGACCCGCTTTGACTCCATTGACTTTGCAAAGCTGAGAAGCGAGATAACAGAAGCAAAGGTGTGTGCAGCAAATACTCATTTGCCTGAGAAGCAGCTTCGTGTTGATCAGAAGCTACAGACTCGGGTTGACTCCATTGACTTTGCAAAGCTGAGAAGCGAGATACAAGAAGCAAAGGTGTGTGAAGCAAAGGTGTGCATGGGAAGCTGTGTTATGTTGATTAGAAGCTGCAGACTCGCTTTGACTCCTTTGACTTTGCCAAGTTGCGAAGCAAGATACAAGAAGCAAAGGTGTGTAGCAAAGGTGTGTGTAGCAAAGGCCCACACGAGAAGATTCATTTTGTTGATAGCAGGCTCCTGCAAAATCGTGTTGACTCCATTGACTTTGAGATACCAGAAGCAAAGGTGTTGAAGCAAAACAAGCTCGATGCGAAAAGTTGCATCTCCAGGATAGCTGGCTGCTGTACCATTGCCTTGACTCCATTTAGTTTACGAAGCTCAGGCAGGAGATGCCTCAAAGACCTTCTGGGACGCCTCATACTTACATGTTTTGAGACGTCTCAAAGCACCCGTGCCTCATCCTTGCATGCTCACAACACACACCCGTGCCTTCCCACCCACTCACTCACTCGTGCTACTCTCTCTCACACCCACCAGGAGTTGACAGACCTTGTGCTACTTGCATCGCCTTTCCCCACAATCACCTTGCTATGCGTTCATGCATGTCATTTGCGGCCCCTCAAAAGCTTATCAGGACGCCTCTAAGGTCATACATACATGCAACCATGCCACTCTCTCAAAACCGCTTCTTTCTCCCAACCATGACACCGCACCCACCAGGAGTTGACAGACCGACTGCACTCGCCCATTGTCTTTGCCCATAACGACCTCCTCGCATACAACCTGCTTTTGGACGAGTCACAACCAGGTATCGTGCGGTAGCATGCGGTAACATGTGGTGACATGTGATATTGTGATGGTAGCATGGTGGTAATGATGTAAGGGCCAACGTGGTGGCTGTTTAAGAAAGAAGGCACTAGGCCTTAAGTACAAACAAGTTTGGGTTGAGCAAAGCTAGGGAAATGATGGGATGGGAATCCAAACAAATCTCCAATGATGAGTTGGCAGATTTGTTGGATTACGGGAGAATACCAACCAGATAGGGTTGGGATTACAAATCTACACCCAACCTACAAATAACCTACATCATATAAAATAGAGTACACTAAGTGTTGACAGGCTATTTCTAACAGTGGTCACATGCCAATGTTAACAACATCATCCCATGTACCATGACCATCCCGCTTTCCATGCTGTTCTGATCCCCTGTGTGTGTTCAGGCACCCCCACCATGCACATGATCGACTTTGAGTATGCGGCGTACAACCCCCGGGGCTACGACATTGCAAACCACTTCTGTGAATATGCCGGCTTCGAGTGCGAATACTCCAGGTGGGTAAATACAGGGAGAAACGATACGATGTTATATAAAAGAATACTACAGGTGTTGAGTATTTCTTGGGATGGGAGTGACACCTGATTGCTGTTATAGATCTCACAGGTCTGTAGCACCTCTTGTACCACCTCTTGTACCACCTCTTGTACCACCTCTTGTGCCCTGATCTTTAGACAGGAATATGATGCTATCCCTTCCAAACGCCAACCAGTCATGTTTCAGTTCAGATGCACGTCAAGTGCGCCCTTAGATTCAGTTCCGACACACTTCATCCCCACCATCCATCTCTCCTTTCCCCACCTTGCTCCTTCTCCCCTGATCCCTCGCATTCTCTCACCTTCCCCTTGCCCTCCTCTCCGTCCCCTCCCCAGGTTCCCCTCTTTGCCCCTCTTTGCCCCTCTTTGCCACACCAGCTGAACTTCATTTCACCACTGCCTCCCGCCGCACCTATTCACTTCACCAATCGTCCATCCCCCTCCCACCCCACCCTCTACCCCACTCTTCATCCCCCCCCCTCAAGCTCCCCTCTTTGCCCCACCAGCTGGACTTTATTATACCTTGCCCCCTCCCGCTGCACGTAGTCACTTCACTTCACCACTACCCCCTTCTGACTCGACTCCAAACTCTCTCCCTCCCACCCACCCTCTTCTGCATCATCCCTCTCCCCCCCTCGCCACCCTCGTCTATCCCCCTCTCTCCATCACCCCCCAGGTTCCTCTCCAAGGCCCATCAGCAGGACTTCTTTTGCCATTACCTGCACCCCAACAGTCCTACTTGTCCTTCTCCTGCCCCACCTGTCCGCCCCTTCTCCTGCATCATCCTTCTTTCCTCCGCGCCCTCTCCCTCGCCCTCTCCATCACCCCCCAGGTTCCCCTCCAAGGCCCATCAGCTGGACTTTTTCCGCCACTACCTGCACCCCACCGCTCCTGAAAAGGTGACAAATGGGGAGATGGGCGGGATGTGGGAGGGAGGTGAGAGCAGCGTAGGTGCAAATTCCTTCCACCTGATGCTAAACCACTTCGATGCCAAATATCTGAAGCCACCATGGCACCTTCTGTGCCCCTCAGACAGAGCTGGGCAGGTTGTATCTAGTGGTGAACGCAATCACTGTGATTCTTGAGACGTCTCAAAAATGCTCTTTTATCACATGACCTTCTGTGCCCCTTGGACAGAGCTGGACAGGTTGTATCTGGCGGTGAATGCAATCACTGTAATTCAGTCAGTCAGTGCATCTGCTGAAATGGCTGTATCTGAACAAGAGTTCGTTCACCCTCCTCTCTTCGATGACTGATGGCACCTTCTGTGCCTCTTCTTCCCTCCTAGTCATTGTGTTTGCGCTGTATGGCAGGCCTCTCAGGCGGCACTGGACAGGCTTTATCTGGAGGGGAATGGTTTCCCTCTGTTTTTGTCATTACTCTTCCTCTGTTGCTTCGATTCTTTCTCTGCCAGGCTTCTCAGGTGGAACTGGACAGGCTGTATCTGGAGGTGAACGCTTTCACTCTTGCCTCTCATTTCTTCTGGTGCCTCTGGTCCCTCATTCAGGTAACTGCAGTGTTCTTTTGTTGAAATCTTGCCATAGCATTTTCCAGCAATTCCCTATTCATGAGTTTTGCCACCAATGCCCATTCTGAATATTTTTGGAAAAAAACCAACACTAAACACAACAAAGCAAAACAAAAGAGCGCATATCTGGATAATGCCTTGTTGCTAAACCACTCTACCTACGACCCTGTTAAAGGTTTGCGGTTATATTTGACCCCGGCCTTGCTTATACTTGCGCTTTCTTCCTTCTACCTCTTCATTGTGTGTACTCCACGCACCCTCACCTCGCAGGCCAAGTACTCGGCCATTGATTTTGACTACATGGACTATTTCTTTGTTCGTTACGGCGTGTATCAAAAGCGAAAGGAGGAGGATGTAGCGCTTGTAGAGTCTTATCTCAGCAGTCAAAAGATGCAAACCAGCTTTGTGGTTTGATCACCTGACCTCAGGTTGATACGGTATGGAGGTCTGAGCAATCAAAAGATGCAAACCAGCTTAGTGGTTTGAGCACCTGACCTCCATACGGGCTTAGTGGTTGCCCAGCGGATTGATTGTAGCACGTTGGTTTACCGTATGCAAAGGGGGGCTGTTCTTTCTTCTTAGAGGGAGGTTCTTGCTTGGTGCCTTTTCACGATGCCATTATGAAGCCTGGCTAACTTATGATGGAGGTGCTTTCCATTTCCTTCTGTTTTATGGCATGATTAATGGGAAGGCAATCAGGGTTTCTGTGGCACATTAGATGTAAGGATATGCACGAAGACAGCTCATGTCGCCCCCTCAACTTGCTAAAGATTCTAATATAGTGGGAATTCTCAGCTTCCCCAGCAGCAGCTTCTGTTATAGCCACCATAAATTATCAGCTTCATGTCAGGAAAATGCGAAGTGTAATAGGGTAATTGAGATTTCTTCTTGGTAGATATTTCACCTCCACGGGCAAAGATCCCCACGTCAGGTAGCGGCATCCCAGATGTCGTGGAAAGCGGCCCAATATCCCCCAAAGCTGATGGGACATGGATGACGTGTTACCAATCAAAAGTCGCATATGCGACAAGGGGGCCAAGATCCGCTCCTCTATTCTTGCTGGAAGTGCTGACAGGGCAAGGGAGGCTACAATGCGCGGCTGCGGCAGGGAATTGCCTTCCCAGCGCCATGGCGATTGGTGGCGCGGAACATGGAGTCAACGCAGGGAGATGGTGTGCGAGAGTCCCCAGCTGGGAACCCCAGCTAATCAACTCGCCGTGGTGCTTCTGTTGCGGAACTCTCGGGGGCATCTCCAAGATTCTGGTTGGGCGGAAGAGGGGAAAGTGGGGAGGGCGGAGGGCAGAGCGGACCGAGAAAGCAGGAGGGTCAGGAATCAGAGAATCTACAGATGAACACACAGCTCTGCAGGCACAATCCACCCAACCGAAACCAAATCATTCCAACCCATTCCAACCTATCTCAAGCTCAAGGCAATGCCATGTCCTTGTGCTGCAGAGTTCTCCATGTGCTGGCATTCTGGGACGACAATCTCCGCTGTAGTAAATCCTCCAGGCGACATTCTGTTTCTGTGAATCCATTTTTGCGAAGAGCAATTTCATTCTCTTCTTTTTACCTCAACGCTTGCAGCACCTTGCTGCTTCCGCTGTCTTGCACAGCTATACTAAATCCAGGCTTCGGCGTATTTTAGTCGATCTCTATTTTACGAGCAGCAGCAGCCATGGTGCTCAGCGTCGCGTTACCCGAGGGCCTCGATGCGTCGAAGCTGTCCAAGGACATCTCCGCGTACAGCGAGCTGCAGCAGGCTCGCCTCAAGTTCCGCCCCACGCTCCCCTCCATGCTCGACGGGCCCAGCGTTGTCGAGAAGGGTCCTCCCACCAAGGCCGCCGGCAACGATGGTACGCGTCGCTGACGGATTTTATATCACTAGTAGATATGTGGTGCTCGCTTGTACCGACCGTGCGACGATGTGTTTTGCGAAGACCATTCTTGATGCCAGCATCAGGATGGATGCTTTCTTACACGAACAGATCCAGCTCAAGTTCTTTCCAGGTCTGCATGCAAGAAGTTCCTCTTTCAGTTAGTAGTGCATTTGCCCCTCTTTTGCGTATAACAGTGATGCAAGGGAACAGGAACCCGTATTAGCAGCACATCCTTCCAGTAATCGTTATCATAACGTGCCGTCCTTGCCGTGTGGCTTGATCGTTCCGAATGTAGTCTTCCCTCCTGTTGAGACCGTTCCTTCCTCTCTTGGTCCGCTTGGCCAAGCTGTTTCATTAGCATTTCATTTTTTCAGAAGTTCCTCTCGCTCTACGGTCAGCCGTCCCCTATTTCATCCACCCCTTCTGCTCACGGCCTCTGCCTCCTCATCTGCCTCCCTTGCTGTCAACCCACCAGAGGAGATCGCCAAGCTCTTCCCGTCGCTGTACGGCCAGCCCTCCGTGAAGCTCGTTCCGGCCGGCGCCTCCGCCGCGCCCGCCACGCCCATCACCGTCGGTGTCGTGCTGTCCGGAGGCCAGGCGCCCGGCGGTCACAATGTCATCGCGGGACTCTTCGGTGAGTCTGCTCCTGGTTTTGGCTATGTTGCTCTTGTTTTTGAGTTGTGACCTGTCGTTACTGTCACCTTTGAATCTGGACGACTTGCTTTCCAGATCCAAAAAGCTGGTCCTCATCCGTAATCGACAGTCGTTGCGCTTAGCGACCCTTTTCGAGCCCTTTGTCGGTGGATGTGCTGCTCAGGAACAATGTATCCATGTTCAATGTTTAGTTCAATAACCTCTTTGAATCCTAATTGCGAGTTCCTCGTTTCCTGATGCTCTTAAACCTGGCATTGACTCTCCCAACCCAAACAACAAGCGGAGATCACGGCCGCGTTTCTAACCCTCTATCCGTTTCACTGCTCCGTCCTCCCCCATGCACCATCTGTTTGCCGCCATCAGACTACCTGCAGGAGAAGGTGCCGGGCAGCAAGCTGCTGGGGTTCCTGGGCGGGCCAGCGGGAGTGATGAAGTGCAAGTACGTGGAGATCACGGCAGAGTTCCTGTACCCCTACCGCAACCAGGGCGGCTTCGATATCATCTGCTCCGGTCGTGACAAGATTGAGTCCCCCGAGCAGGTACGGCCGGCCCTTGATTTGCTTCGATGGTGTGCCTTTCGCTGCGTCGATATCGTCGATTCGTTAAATGCATCACTAAATTTCCTTTTTTATTTTTCGTTCCGGCTCCTCTCTGCTCGTTCTCCGTCGTTCGCAGTTCGCCATGGCCGTGGCGTCGGCAGAGAAGCTCTCGCTGGACGGACTTAGCTTAACAAAAATGGGTGTCCCTTTTTTCGTTCTTCCCACTCCCTTCTCCTCGTTCTGCATGTCCCTCTCCCTCTCCCTCTCCCTCTCCCCCGCGCAGTTCGCCATGGCCGTGGCATCAGCGGAGCAGCTCTCGCTTGACGGGCTGGTGGTCATCGGCGGCGACGACTCCAACACCAACGCGTGCCTGCTCGCCGAGCACTTCCGGTCAGTGCTGTCCCTTGCCTGTCAGTGCCACCCTTTTGCCAAAATCTGCCGTCAAAGCGTCGCATTTCGAACGGCGGTTTTCGTTAGTTACGGCATCGCATCGCATCTCGCCCTGTTGTACAGCCTCGCATCGCGTTTCACCGCATTCCTTCCCGTTTTCCTCCAATGCTTATGCGCAATGGCAGCGTCAAGGGCCTGAAGACGAAGGTGATCGGGTGCCCCAAGACCATCGACGGCGATCTCAAGGCGGCGCAAGTGCCCATCAGCTTCGGCTTCGACACCGCGTGCAAGGTGAATAAGGAACGGGAGTGTACGGGGGCATGCACGGTGGTGTGCGGGGTATTGCAAGAGGTAGGAGCGTGTGGGAGCAAGGCGGCGCAAGTGCCCATCAGCTTCGGCTTCGACACCGCGTGCAAGATGAACACAAGAGAGTGCATGCATGCGCACATGCAAGGCGTGTGTGTTTCTGGTGGGGGGGTAGGGGAAGGGAAGAGGTAGGAGCGTGTCGGAGCAAGGCGGCGCAAGTGCCCATCAGCTTCGGCTTCGACACCGCCTGCAAGGTGCGTGCTCTGGGGGGACCGCGTGTCGGGGCAAACTTTGTTGAGCTGACTGGAGAGCAGGGAGTAGGGAGTAGGGAGGGAGGTGCCGCTCTCAAGGTGCTCTGTAGTTTTCTTGTTGACTCTTTAGTCACCCCACTTTCTGTCAGTGGTGGAAAAGGGGAACGTTGGAGGGTAGCGGGCAGGTCCGTGGCCCCGCTCGAGGTTCTTGTTTGGGAGGAATATAATTGGGAACAGTTTCACGGGACGAGGAATGGCACTGAAATTTGCAGTTTCACATGATTCACACGCACTCATTTTTGCGTTGTACAGCGCCGACGCGTGAAGATTCCAGTCTTGCTGCGATCGAATCGTTATTGCCAACGGCTTCGCATTGCGTGACTCCGATGCACTAATCATCCCGTCCTCTGCGACAACGCGTCTCACCCCGTCCTCTGTCTGCTCCCACCTTCCCTTGGGTCTGTCCGCATCTTCTGCCGCGCGCGCGCCCGATTCCCGTGCAGGTCTATTCCGAGACCATTGGGAATGTCATGACTGATGCTCGCTCTGGCGGCAAGTACTATCACTGTGAGTACACCACGAGGGGACAAAGCGAAGACGGGAGGAGAAGGGAGGGAGTGGTGGGAGTAAGGGAAGAAAGGGATGGGTGGGAGAGAGAGGGGGAAGGGGGAGGGATTGGCTGCTTGCCGTTTCTCCGTTTCGCGCTCCTTTGGACGTGGCATGATGCATACAGTGAATCGGATCGGACCTGTCTCTCAGGAGAGCTGGTTTCAACGTCGCGCTTCATTTCTCACCCTGCCCTTCGCTCCCTTCTTCCGCCCTATCTCCCTGCCTCCCAACGATGGTGTGATCATGTTGCGTTCGATTACATGTTGGTTCACGTGGCGGCACGGCAGTCGTGCGGCTGATGGGTCGGGCGGCGTCGCACATCACCCTTGAGTGCGCGCTGCAGACGCACCCCAACATCACGCTCGTCGGCGAGGAGGTCAGTGCGGTTGAACGCGGTGGGGTTAGATGCCTTGTGGTTTGGTGTACTGCGGTTGGATGCGGTGTGCATAGAGTCCTCGCTCCCGTGCCGTGGATATCAGTTTTTCTGTATGTCTCCTCGCCTGCTCTCGCTTCCCCCTTACGCTTATCCGTTACGCTCATCCTTTTCGCTCGTCCTGCCAGGTGTTCGCCAAGGGCATGACGCTGGGCCAGGTCACCAACCACATCGCTGACGTCATCTGCAAGCGCGCCGAGGCGGGCAAGAACTTCGGCGTGGTGCTTATTCCCGAGGGGCTCATTGACTTCATCCCCGAGGTACTTTCTACCGCCTCTTTCCGAGCATGGTGATCTCTCGTGCCCCATCCCCGCCTTTCCTTCAGCGTGGTGCTCATTCCCGAGGGGCTCAT